GCCGCACGATACGAGGCAACAGTATTAGGCATCAAATGACGGTCCTGAAAAAGCCAAGAAAGAAAGAACAAAACAACCCGATCCGAAAGAAAAGACAACCTACGAAAAGTCAGAAAATGGCGAAAAGAATGCCAGGAAACTTTATACTGTTGCCGAGACGAAGCTCTCAGGTGGGACACCATCAACAAAGCCACCTGATCACCATAGAATTGGTGATATACCCGCGTCAAAAAGACCAGACGCGAAGAGCAGAGGAGAAGGTCGAACCAGCCCTGTACCAGATCGGACCGACCTGCTGAAAGAGGCGGAGCCGTGGGAAACGTCCCGGGTTCGGGTACCGAGCCAATAGCACCGGAAACCAAGGCTGGGCCGGCCACCAAGGGGCCATGAGGACTACTCTCCCTGGGAATGTCTCCAACCGAACCAGAACCCAAAGCAACAGCTGGACCGGGGGGGAAGAGGTACAGGTAACCCCACCTCGACCAGTCCTGCCGAAATGCATCCACAGCGAACGCTTCGCAGTCGGGAAAGGGCGTCACATATATTGGGAGAGGTCGAGACCACGCCGACGCGAAGAGGTCCACATCTGGGAGACCGTACGTCTGGCAGATCCAACGAAACGAGTCATCGTTGACAGTCCACTCCGTGGACAGGGGAAGGAAGCGAGACAGATCGTCCGCCAGAACGTTGGACATTCCCCGGACATGAACCGCACGGAGAGCCAAACCCCGAGAATCCAGCAGACCAACCACTCGAAGGGACCCACCCCAAAGAGCAAAGGACCGTAGAGAACCCCCGCGGTTCAGGCAATGAACCACTGGAGAACAGTCCGAATGAAGGCGAATGGTCGATCCCCGAGCGACCCGAATCCTCCGAAGCGCGAACCAGACAGCCGCAAACTCCTGAACCGTGCTGTGAGCCCGATGGAAGAACGGACCCCACCGTCCCTGGCCTGCCTGGTGAGCACTGGCCACAAAGCCCCAGTCGAGAGACGTGTCCGTGAACACATGGAGTGAGGGCTTGGGAAGGCACCAAGACACCGAACCCCGAAAACCCCAAAAAAGAAGCCGGTGACGCAGCAACCGACACAAGACCCCCGGAGTACAAACCCAACGATCGAGAGAGAGGCGGAAAGGACGTCCCCAAAGGAACCAAAACAGATGCCAAAGCCAAACCCGACCCGGCGGGTTGACTAGCACAGCGAAGTTCAGACTCCCGCACAAACGCTCGAGCAACACCCGAGTGACACGGGACCCCCTCAGAAACAGCTGACAGCGGTCCCGCAGCCGCCGCAATGCCTCTGGAGGGAGAGACAAGGAAGCGGTCAGAGAATCCCAAACAAGACCCAGCCAGGTCCGAACCTGGGACGGAACCAGATGGGACATCCTCCAGTTCACCAGGAACCCGAACCTGGCGAGCTGGGAAAGACCCATATCCCTGGCGAGCAGACAAGCTGACCGACTGGGAGCCCACACCAGTCAGTCGTCGAGGTAGGCCAAAACCCGAATCCCTAGAAGACGCAGACGGGTCACCACAACCCGAGTCAGACGCGTGAAAACGCGAGGTGCCAGATTCATGCCAAAAGGTAGGCATCGAAAACAGTAAGCGTGACGCCCCACCAGGAAACCTAACAAGTCCCTGAACCCCGGATGAATAGGAACGTGCCAATAGGCGTCCTTGAGGTCCAGGGACACCATCCAGGCACCCGGCTCCAACAGAAGCTGGACCCGAGACAGAGTAGTCATCCGAAAGGAGGGGCAAGGAATCCAGGGATTCAGACGGGACAAGTCCAGAATGAACCTCAGATTCGCACAGTACCGTTTCGGCACTGGAAACAGAAAGGGAAAATGGGACATAGTCGTTTCGACCACGCCCAAGCGCACCCACTCCAAGACGACTTGACGAAGCGTAGGAGAAGAAACCTGCCCTGTTAGCCCCGTACCCCCCAAAGGAGGACGAGTCGCCCAACGCCACCGCAGGCCGGATTACACGACTGAAAATGCCCACAAATCGTGGGGCCAAGCATGGGCAAAGAGAGCGAGCCTCCCCCCCCATCGCCCCGTCAACGTGGCAAACCGCGAAAGGGCTGACGCCCCTTACGAGAACCAAATCGTCGAACAGGGCGATCACTGCACTGACCAGATGACGCTGGCCCCGAAGGGAACAACGGCTCAGAAACTGGCACCAATGGCCCACCTCGACCAGCGGAACCCGGAACCCTGGCACGACCCCTCCGAAACTGCCGAGAATGACCGCTTCGGAGAATCAACAAGTCCGCCATAGGACGACAACTAGACGAAGCCGCTTGCAGAAGCTGAGAGACCGCAGTCTCTGCAAACAGCAACGGACAAAACGGAGACGAAAACCTAAAAGCCAGGGCCCAAGCAGATTCTGAAGAGAGGGCGAGCACAGCCTGACGGCACGCGAGGTGAGAAGCAAAAAACAGAGACACCTCTTCCTTCAGGATGGGTGTAAAGAGCTTCAACAGTGCAGCTGACGCCCTAGCTGCAGAAGTCAGCACCCCAGACGAAGGCCCTTCACTCAACACTCCTACAGCCTCCTCAAGCCAAGCAGAAGACAGCTCGAGAAGGGAAAAGAAATGCAAGACCAAAGCCAAATGCCCACAGGCGTGCAAATTCTCCGCAACCAACAAAGCCGAAAGAAGAGGAACCTGCACGTGAAGCTGGAAAAGGCCAACATCCTGAGAAAGCACGGGTGCGAACAAGCACGCATTAAGGTGCTCAAACTTGCCCCCCAGGTAAACCTGCATAAAAGTAGAAGTTTCACGCCAATCAAGCGTGCGTGTCCGACAGAACCCTTGCCGCGCCCCCAACGAAAAGAAAGGGCTGTCTGCCAGCCAGGACGACACCGGAACCTCCAAACGCACCCAAAAACAGGAAGAAGAACCGAACTCAAACAAGGACAGATCCATCGCAGAGGCATAACCTGGGTCTCACAAGAGGTATGCAGCAAGAGCTTCCCGAGCCACCTTTACGGAGATACGGGAAGTAGAAAATCTCTGGAAAGACGGAGCTGAGGTACCCAAAGGAGCCTGGAACCGAACCCGGGGAGGAGCCGAACCCAAGTCATACTCATACAGGGAAGGGGGGGTAAGAACACCCCTCCCCTGCAACAATAAGCCCCGCGAGGAAGGCAAAAGCACCCAAGCGGGTCAAAGGGGGCCCAAGGCCCCCAGGTTGACTCCTCCCCAGCCCCAGGATTCCCCACATTGGGACCCGGGGCAGAGCCGTCCTCCAAACCCTCTACCCCTGAAGAAAAGGCCGAGTCCAGGGGGGAAAGGCAGACAAGAAGGGGGTCTGCTGGTGGGACCCAGAAGCTTTGGTAAGAGGAACCGGCTCAAATGCCTCTGTCCCCGACCCGGATGGGGCAGCCCCTAAGGCAGCCAGAGTCTCATTACCAACTAAACCCTGTGCCGAGGCCGGAACCCTCAAACATTTTGGAGCCAGACACAGGGAGGAAGGTGCAGGAAGAACCATAGGGGAAGGACCAGGGAGCGCGGAAGGAGCCAAAGCCGAAGCGACTATCGCCCCCAGGTCAGGGTCCCTAAAACCAAAACGGGGCAGCCTCAGGGCATCTGGGTGGGAAACCAACCAAGTGCGTTGCAGTAACCTAAACTTAACATGCAACACTGATGCTGCCTGTACTCTTACAGGATACAGGCAGCATCAGAGTAAAACTGGAGCACAAGCAGAGAACACAACTCGCAAGACTCCGGGTCAAAGGTGTCGTTGACCCAACAGGCAGCATGACGGAGGCAAAACAGGTGACTGTCACCCTGAGACAAGGGCACACAGCAACCTTCAAACCCGCACAAGGCAGGCTGGAACTCGGGAGATGCATCCATAGGTCCACCGAGCCCCAACAGGGGTTTCCAGGGCCCGTAGGGTAACAACTACGGGAAGCCCGGGCAAGGTGTTGCTAACCGGTAAAGAAACCCAAACAAAACAAGGAGTAGATGATAACACTGAAAACCCTTGGGATGTGTACAAGCACGGGGGCCTAGCAGAGAGCCACCAAAATAATACCAGGGGGAATTATAGACCCACGAGGCAGAACCTCCACCAGGCAAACAAAAACAAAACAAAACAAAAAAACGCAAAAGTACACCGTCCCCAGAGGCAACAGGAACCGGTCGCCGCTTAGGTGGCAGGTCGCGCAACACCTTGACGCCCTAACCAGCACAATACCACTCCCTACCCAAGGCCAAACAAGGGCTCCAAGCCCCAGCTGGCCCCAAGGGCGAGGCAAATGCCGAGCAGCAAGAACCCCTACGGGAGTGGTTCCCGAACGCTCCAGGGAAGATAACCCTGACACGCAAGGGCAGTACTCACAGGGCGCCTAGGGAAGGAAGACTCTAAGCGCATGCAGCCCCAACATTGATGAGGTACTCCTGGCCACCGCACACCACACAAAGACAACAGAGAACGCCACACAAGGCAAACACCACCCAGGAATTTGAGTCCAGAGAAGCGTCTATCCCGGTTGACACTAGCTTACGAACTAAAGGCAGCCGGCGCAGTGAGGTCCGGGGCCCCCCCCTCCCCCATTTCGGGGAGGGGAAGACTGCGCGGACGACCGACCTGGCAGTAAATTGTGATAATTACTCGTTTGATTGTTTCCTTGGGATTATAGGGAGTTTCTACCTCTCTGTTCGGTTTTTGTTTTTAGTTACTTACCATGTGGGGTTTGTTTTGTTACGCCTACCTTTCTGGGTGCCTAACCCCGGTCGATGGCAGTTAAGGAAAACCCTCAACCACAAAGGGGTTTTCCAGGGCCATTGCTCTGTGAAACCTCTCTGAAGGGACCAGGTTCTGGCACTGGTTCCTGGTAGGTCTGAATTCCATAGCTAATGTCCTGGTCTAACATAACATACATTAGCCCAATAAGCTCCAGGTAGCCTCTGGGGCTCCCCACAGAAAAGGTATAAAATGTAATAATAAATTTGTTATCATTAAGTAAATATTGTATAGAAAACATACTTGATATTTTCCTCTGTTGGTCCTGTAATTTGTACCAGTCGCTCTCGAGCACCAGGGGCCACTGGGAAATAAAATGTGTGTTAGCCTTCTTACAAGGACAATCTGCAATGTATATGCATTGCTCTCAAGCTTCATTTTCTTCATCATAAGCTATTCAACCTAATGAATAATCATTTGGGATGGGGATGAACTCTCTCATGAGCATTTCACTTGAAAAGTATTGTCATTTTTGCCTATTTACCTACTGTCTTCACTTTAAAGACACTTTCTATGTATGCAAATTAGTTGTTTCAAACTATTCTAATCTGCTCTGACAGTCAAACACAGCATCCACGCATCCATCTCCACATCATCCATCTTCCTATTATACACAGCATCCAAGCATCCATCTCTGCATCATCCAACACAGCATCTAACCATCCATCTCCACATCACCTGATAAAGCATCCAAACATCGATCTCCACATCAATCACAGCATCCAAGCATCCATCTTTACATCATCCAAAACAGCATCTAAGCATCTATCTCCACATCACCCAACACAGCATCCATCTTCCCATCAAACACAGCATCCAAGCAGCCATCTCCACAACACCTTGGAAAAAGTGCTATACTTTAGTTCTTGGCAGCACAACTCTTATTCTTTCAACCATTATCAAACTTCTACATCTTGTGATATCCTTTTAACAAATTTGTTTTATTTCCACTAACAAACATTCCTCTCTCCCATTTAACTTCTGTATACATTTGTTGCATTTCCATAATTATGCAAAAACCTATTAGAATCATCAGTAATAAACAAGGTCTATTCCCAACTGCTTCTTGGATAATTTAAACTCATTTGCTTTATTTGGAATAAAACTGATATCTAGGTTTTGAATAGATAAGTCTAGTTAATTGGCATAGATCAGCTGGTGGCTTTTTACAACATCGATCCTTTATAAACAAGTTAATATTTAATAAACAATATTTATTTAAACAACAATATTAATATTTAATTTTAATATTAAATAATATTAAACAATCTATTTACTCTTGACACCATCTAATCAAAGCAACTAACCTGCAATAAAAAATATTCAACCTCTCCTATACAGCAAATAGCATTCATTTTTGCTAGTTTTAGTAAGGCATAATTTCCTATTATATCTCCGTAATACAGTAGTCTAGATTTTCCTAGAACATACGGTACTTTTAAGGATATACCCCCTTTTACATCTTACAGGATGACCATTTATTGGCTAATTTAACAAAGATAAAAATAATAAAGAAATTAATTTACCCCTTCATTTTTGTTTATTATTAATTTATAATCCAGAATACATAACAAAAAACTTCCATTAATAATAATGCGGCGTCAATGCACATTATTCCATAAACCCACATACATCTGAGTGCAATATGAACAACGGTCTCTCAACTATAGAAGAGTGAAGATATGCTCCAAACCACAAGATAACTAAATTAATTTATTGTCATGTTCAGCACCACACACAATGTTGAACCATCAATCTCTCTACTCTTGACATTATCTAATCAAACTCGCCATGCATTAATTTCTTCCATTTGCGATCAATCCGTGCAACGCTCATTTTGCATTTTATGTCTAGCTTAAACTTAATCCTAATCCCTTAAAATGACCTTAAAATATCTAAGATTTAAGCTTTGTACAGCATTAGGGGGTATTATGTATTAGCCATGCATAGTAATGTTAGCAGTAGCTACACACTGGCCTATGACACCTTCCTCCTTAAATATTAGCTTTCTCATATCACATTCTAAAAAGTGATATACCCCTTAAAACCATGAGAATTTCAAATAAAAGCAAATTGTTATATTTGATTTTTTTATGCAAAAATGATTAAAATTAGACAGATTAGATTAGAGGTATGAATCAGTTAATGAAGGTTACTAAAAATACAGCAAGGTGTAACCTCTAAATAACCATAGGACAACACTACTTGCTAGCATAGCTAAGGCAACGGAAGAGAAAAGATTATAACAGGTAAGTCATGCATATACATGGCGTTGCAGATTGTGGATGCAGTTACTGTATTAGCAAAATAAATAAAATACCTTATGCATCTTTCAACTACTCCAAAGCGTATCAGGATGCGTTTTCATCAGTCGGTTAAAAAGGCATGTACAATAATTCAAAGAACATGTGTATTCTTATTCTACCAGTATTCTTACTTTTTTTATTTATATTTTATATATATATATATATATATATAAATATATTATATATATATATACTGTATATATATATATATATATATATATATATATATATATATATATATATATATATATATATATACTGTATATATATATATATATATATACAGTACTGTATATATATATACAGTACTGTATATATATATATATATATATATATATATATATATATATATATATATATATATATATATATATATATATATATATATATATATATATATATATATATATACTGTATATATATATATATATATATATATATATACAGTACTGTATATATATATACAGTACTGTATATATATATATATATATATATATATATATATATATATATATATATATATATATATATATATATATATATATATATATATATATATATATATACTGTATATATATATATATATATATATATATATATATATATATATATATATACTGTATATATACTGTATATATACTGTATATATACTGTATATATACTGTATATATACTGTATATATATATATATATATATATATATATGTCGTACCTAGTAGCCAGAACGCACTTCTCAGCCTACAATTCAGGGCCCGATTTGCCTAATAAGCCAAGTTTTCCTGAATTATTATATTTTCTCAAATTTTTTTCTTATGAAATGATAAAGCTACCCATTTCATTATGTATGAGGTCAATTTTTTTTTATTGGAGTTAAAATTAACGTAGATATATGACCGAACCTAACCAACCCTACCTAACCTAACCTAACCTATCTTTATGGGTTAGGTTAGGTTAGGTAGCCGAAAAAGCTATGTTAGGTTAGGTTAGGTAGGTTAGGTAGTCGAAAAACAATTAATTCATGAAAACTTGGCTTATTAGGCAAATCGGGCCTTTCATAGTAGGCTGAGAAGTGCGTTCTGGCTACTAGGTACGACATATATATATATATTGTATATGAGAAAATATTGAGGACACACTTGTGGTTGATATCCAGTACTTTTAAGTCCATCATGGTCCAGGTGGTAGTGTGTGTGCCTTGGAAATCCATGGACGCAGGTTCGATCCCTCGCTCAATATTTTCTCATAGATATGTATATGTATATGCAACATATACACATTTAACACACATTTTTTAACACTGGTATTGTTACCTGGGAATACACTGTTCATTTGAACATGTTACAGTTAACACAGTCAGGCAGTGTAAGTTAGGGAGGTCAGTAGTAATTTTTTTATTTGTTTTACCTCTCTGGAATGAGATGATGGTTTCAGAGAGCTCCTCAATCATGTGTACCCGCCTGCCCTTTATCCCCATAACTGTGCCAGGAGACAGAGTGGGTCAACTTTAGCTTACCAATGGTCACATTAGCAGGTCAACTTAAGTTACCAAGAGACAGATCAAGATGTCAACTTAGTGGCCATAAGGCAGAACATGATCACTAGAGGCAAATACATGTGCAAGTCAATTTTTGCAGATAATTTTCATGCTATGCAATATTAATATATCTTTCTGACATCTTTCCCAGCATAAGTAGGGAAAGTTTTTAAATGTCTTGTCATGAAATGCTATAAATTGCAATATCAAAGCCTAGGTATCAAAGTCTATGCAAATCTAACAAAAGACAAGAGCCCAAATTCAAAATCAAATCAATCCATTGCCTAATATTAATCAAACAAATACTATTATTTATGGCACTATCCCCCAAAATAATCCAGTCAATTGGTGACATCAAACATAAAAAAATCATATTTCCAAGTGAAAATTTGCTTAAGAGAAAAAGTAATACAGTAATTGTTCAGTTATTATTGAAGTGTATCAAGTTAAACTTGAAATCTGATATAAAAGATTTAAAATACAAGAAAAATTTATGGAACAATGATTCAGTAGATAAAAAACATACAGTACTTTAACTGTTTCTTTACATATTACACAATATTTATGTTAAATTTCATCTTCACAATAGAGATTCATAATAAATTCACACCTTATGATGAATACAGCTGTAGGGAAATCAAAAAAGTCAAATTATGTAAAAAAAAAAAAAAAAAGCGTTGAATGTAATGAAACACCATTTTCTGGGTGAGCCCCAGTGGCTCCCTGGAGCTACAGGACTGATATACGCTATATTAGTCTGGGGCTTCGGTCAATGGAGTTCTGCCTACTGGGGGACCACGAACCAGAACCTGGCCCCCCCTCAGAGAGGCGCCGGGAGCAATGGCCTAGGAACCTCCCCCCTCCCTTGTATTTGAGGGTATTCCCTGTCTGCCATTAACCGGGGTTAGGTACCCAAAAAGATAAGCATCTCAAAACAAACCCCACATGGTAGAAAATTGCAAGGAGGCGGCCGCACTGCGTGTCTCAGCAAGAACACGAGACAACTGGCCGCAACCTGCGACCCAATGCAACACAGGAATGACTGGGATCAGGAATATTCACCAAAGAATGTTCAGGAAAGGGGCAAGGACCCTGATCGACCTCCATAACCCTGGGGCCCAAACGTCAGGCCAAGACGTGTCCCCAAACACAGTGGCAAGAGAAGCATACTGACGAGCATCATGGGCACGAGGGTAGACCGCAGGCTGGCTTGACTTAAGAACCCTGCGGACAATCTGAGAGACCCAAGCCCTGGAACAGGGAACGAAGGAAGTCCGATCAATCCAAAGCACGTCCACGGCCACAGAAGCAGAAGCGCGCAGGTAACGGCATAGAGCTGCAACCGGACATAACACATGATGAATCCCCAGCCAGACCAATCAAGCATCAAAACCCCAGGGGACTCTCAGGAAGCCCGTCAGCACGTTCTTTGCCAGAAAAGGAGACGGCTGCACCCAAACCGGGGTTTAGGCAGCCAGAAAGGAAGGCTGGTAACAAAACAACCCCCACATGGTAGGAAATTGCAAAAAACCCAGGACCAAACAAAGAAACAGAACGCCCCAAAAGAAAACAAGGGAAACAAGCAAATAAGTAAATGTTAACCACCACCACCTTCTAACCACTTCTCCCCAGAAGTAAACCGTCATTGTCCACCAGGACCGAATGAGCAGAAACCTCTATGCTGGAGGTTTCGGGTTGGTATGCTTCATGCATACCAACCCGAAACCAAGAGGCCAATGCCAACAGAAACAGAGCCTACTGGAAGCAAACCAGAAACAAAGGGGCCACCACAAACCGAGGAGAAGAAAAAAAAACACCCAGTCCATGGACCAGGATGGCTCAGGGGGGAGCATGAACAGGCTGGAGGTGAAACAAAGCATGAGAAAGCTTACTGAACAGGGTAGAAGTAACATCCACCCAGAACACAAGCTGAAATGGCTCCACCAGCACTGTACGAGAAGATGCGACAATATTAGGCAGAAAATGAAGGTCCTGAGAGAGCCAAGAAAAAATGGACCAGACAACCAAAACAGAAATAGAAGACAACCTGCAAAGAGAGAGGAAAAGGCAAAAAGAACTCCAAGAGACTCCATACTGCCGCTGGGACAAAGACCGCAGGTGGGAACCTTCACTGAAGTCACCACATTACCAACCAAGAGGTGATACATTTTTGGGGAGTTCTTTAGCAACTTTGAGGTCTGGCCCGAGTCACTGGAAAAAGTGGAGCTGCTGCAAGAGGTAGAGCCGCAGAAAATGCCCCGAGTTCGCACACCAAGCAAGCAGCGCATAAAACCAAGGCTGGGCTGGCCACTACAGGGCCACAAGGACGACTCTCCCACGGAAGACTCCAAATGAGTCAGAAGTCAAAGCACCAGCTGGACCGGGAGGAAAGAGGAACAAGTAATCCCACCTCAACCAGTCCTGCCGAAAAGTGTCCACCACGACAGCACCGCAATCGGGAAAGGGCACCCCATATATCGGGAGACACCTGGACCACGCCAACGCGAAGATGTTCACAGCCCCCTATGTGGCTTGTAGGTCCGGCAGAGCCAACAGAAGGAGTCGGCATCGACCGTTCATTCTGTGGACAGGGGAATGAACCGTGACAGGCCGTCCGCCAGAACGTTGGACATTCCCCACAAGTGAACCACACAGAGAGCTGAAACTTGAGAATCCAACAGATGAGTCACCCAAAGCGACCAGCCCCAAAGCGACCGGACCTTAGAAAACCCGTGTGTGGTTCAGACAAGGAACCTCCGGAGCGCACTCTGAATGGAGCCGGATCATTGAGCCTTGAGCGACACAAACTCCCCGCAGCGAAGCCAACCCGCCGTAAACTCTCGCACTGTGCCGGCATTGTGAGCCCCAACGGAAGAATGGAGCCCACTGCCCCTGGCCGGCCTGGTGAGTACTAGTCACAAAGCCCCAGATGAGAGACAAGGCTTCCATGAACACAACGAGCGAAAGATCGGGAAGCATCATGGCACTGAACCCCAAAAACCCAAAGAGGAAGCCGGCGACACAGTAATTGACGCAAGGCCCATGGGGTCGAACTCAGCGGTCGCAGGCGAAAGGGACGTCCCCGAAGGAGCCAGAACAGACGCCAAAGCCAGACCCGACCTGGCAAATAAATCAGCACAGCGAAGTTCAGACACTTCACACACAGTGCCAGGGAGCCGGTCGGCCGAGCGGACAGCACGCGGGACTTGTGATTCTGTTCCTGGGATCGATCCCAGGCGCCGGCGAGAAACAATGGGCAGAGTTTCTTTCACCCTATGCCCCTGGTACCTAGCAGCAAAATAGGTACCTGGGTGCTAGTCAGCTGTCACGGGCTGCTTCCTGGGAGTGGAGGCCTGGTCGAGGACCGGGCCGCGGGGACACTAAAGCCCCGAAATCATCTCAAGATAATCTCAAGATAATCCCCAAAGCCAGGGTAAGTGAAATTTCATAGTTTTTTATAGTGTGGTGCCCATATCTTAAGAAGCACATCAACAAACTGGAAAAGGTGCAAAGACATGCTACTAAGTGGCTCCCAGAACTGAAGGGCAAGAGCTACGAGGAGAGGTTAGAAGCATTAAATATGCCAAAACTAGAAGACAGAAGAAAAAGAGGTGATATGATCACTACATACAAAATAGTAACAGGAATTGACAAAATCGACAGGGAAGACTTCCTGAGACCTGGAACTTCAAGAACAAGAGGTCATAGATTTAAACTAGCTAAACACAGATGCCGAAGAAATATAAGAAAATTCACCTTCGCAAATAGAGTGGTAGACGGTTGGAACAAGTTAAGTGAGAAGGTGGTGGAGGCCAAGACCGTCAGTAGTTTCAAAGCGTTATATGACAAAGAGTGCTGGGAAGACGGGACACCACGAGCGTAGCTCTCATCCTGTAACTACACTTAGGTAATTACACTTAGGTAATTACACCCGCACAACTGCTCGAGCAACCGCCAAGTGACCCGGGATCTCCTCAGGAACAGCTGAAGGCAGGACTGCAGCTGCAGTCCTGCTGCAGGACCAGGAGGGGGTTATCTTGAGGTTATCTTGAGATGATTTCGGGGCTTTAGTGTCCCCGCGGCCCGGTCCTCGACCAGGCCTCCACCCCCAGGAAGCAGCCCGTGACAGCTGACTAACACCCAGGTACCTATTTTACTGCTAGGTAACAGGGGCATAGGGTGAAAGAAACTTTGCCCAGTGTTTCTCGCCGGCGCCTGGGATCGAACCCAGGACCACAGGATCACAAGTCCCGCGTGCTGTCCGCTCGGCCGACCGGCTCCCTCGGGGGGGGGGGGGGGGGAGGGAGGATGCACAGAAATGGTCCGAGAGTCCCAAACAAAGCCCAGCCAGGTCCGAACCTGGGATGGAACCAGATAGAACTTTCCCCAGATCACCAGGAACCCGAACCTGGCAAGCTGAGAAAGAACCATCCCTCTGGTGAGCAGACAAGCAGACTGGCTGGGAGCCCACACCAACCAGTCGTCGAGGTAGGCCAATACCCGAACACTTAGCAGACGTAGACGGCCACCACAAACCGTGTAAGATGCGTGAAAGCGTGAGGTACCAGATGCCGGCCAAATGGAAGGCAACGAAAACAAGAAGCACGCCGCCCCACCACCAAATCTAACCAATCCCTGAACCCAGGATGAAGTGGGACGTGCCAATACGGGTCCCGGAGGGCCAGAAACATCAACAACCCAGTTCCAAAAGATGCCAGATCTGGGACAGAGAGATCATCTGAAAGGAGTTTCAAGGAATCCAGCAGTTTAGATGGGACAAATCCAGAATGAACCGAATATCTGAACAATCCCGTTTTGGCACTGGAACAAGCAGGAAACCCACTTGAGAGACGAGGTCGTTTTGACCACACCCAGGAGCACTCACATCAAGATGACCCGACGGGGCGCAGAGTGAGAAGCCCGCCCCACCAACCCCAAGATT